TAATATAATAATAATAATATATATATATATATATATATATGTGTGTGTGTGTGTGTGTGTGTGTGTGTGTGTGTGTGTGTATATTATTATATGTATATATATATATATATATATATATATATATGGGTCAGATGTTTTACATGGTGTACATGTGTATTAGGCTTCTGAACTTGACTTGTGCTGCTTACACAATCTACATTGAAATATTGGGCGCCCATGGCAAAGAGAAATCGCTTACGCAGGATATGTTTGGCACCGATACTTATGAAACTTGAATGGGAGTTGTATATTGTCCCACTGCTAAATTGCTATTGCGGGCCCTGGCCTACTTCACTTATCTATTGCACTTATCTATTGCACTGATATATTGCACTGATCTGTTGCGCTTAAGTGTTCTCAGAAGTGACTCAGGTGCTTTAAAGTTTAGGGCTAGCTTATGCTTTTGCGACTGTAACTCTATTGTTGTCGCTTGCTGCCCTGGCGTTTTGTTACATTACGCTCTGCACAAACGACCTTTTCTCATAACGTCATTTGCACGCGTAGTGCGCTTTGTTTGACTCCATGTGAGCTGCATGTCCTTGTATGTTTAAGTCCTAAACCCTTGAACCCCGTAGCATCATCCTGTACTACCCACTGACGTCTTGTGACGAATACTAACGCCTCATGACTTGTCTCTGTGCAGCTCCATCGCGTTTACACGTCCCAACGATACGCACTCACACCAGCCCATCTGCAACAACTGCTCAGACGACACTCTCGACATCAGCAACTGCCCAGACACTACCCACCACACCAGTAACAACTGCCCAGGCACCACCCACCACATCAGCAACAAATGCCCAAGCAACATCCATCACATCAGTAACAACTGCCCAGACACCACCCACCACATCAGTAACAACTGCCCAGGCACCACCCACCACATCAGTAACAACTGCCCAAGCAACACCCACCACAACAGCAACAACTGCCCAGGCACCACCCACCACATCAGTAACAACTGCCCAAGCAACACCCACCACATCTGTAACGACTGCCCAGGCACCACCCACCACATTAACAACAACTGCCCAAGCAACAGCCACCACATCTGTAACGACTGCCCAAGCAACACCTACCACATCTGTATCGACTGCCCAAGCAACACCCACCGCATCTGTAACGACTGCCCAAGCAACACCCACCACATCTGTAACGACTGCCCAGGCACCACCCACCACATCTGTAACGACTGCCCAAGCAACTCCCACCGCATCTGTAACGACTGCCCAAGCAACACCCATCGCATCAGAGGATACGAGTGAAACCTCTAAACCCACGAGTCAGCAAACACAGACATCGACGGAAGACACTCACACACTCTCAGGCACCTCCTTAGGCGCAGATGTTGTGCCTCAGCCAGCAGCCGCTGCACAGCCGCTTCTACTGACGAATCAGCGCATGGATTGTGCCATTGCCAACACACACAGCAACGCACACGCACTCACAAGAAGCATGACAGACACACACACCTCAACACACACACACACGCACACACTCCTGGAGGAGAACTCACGCCCCACCACGCAACGGCAAAGTCTGACTGACGAACTTTCGCACACGCAAAGTATGATAGAACCACGCATCATAGAAGCACAGCAGAAGACAGCCGAGCGCAAGGGAGGTCTCAGATCACCACAGAGCCAACCAGTCATCTCATCGAATGCACGCACACGCACACAATCACTTCACCACCACAACGACGATCACTCAGCCGATCATATCCCTGGTGCGTCAATGCGATTTATGTATTTATGTGTTTATATATTTATTCACACACACATATATATATGTATGTATATATATATATATGTGTGTGTATGTCTGTGTGTGTCTGTGTGTGTCTGTGGGTGGGTGGGTGTGTGTGTGTGTGTATTTGTATATATGTATATATATATATATTCGAGTGGCATTAGCTTTTATTGATATATAATTGTGGGCGTGTATTTGACGTCGTAGCCTCAATCTGTGCCAACTTATTTTATGTGGGCGTGTGTGCTTATACCCGAGTTCGATTCAGGAATCTAATATGATGCTCTTTTGCCTTCTTTTTAAACTCTGCACCAATCAGAAATCCTAGAATTTGGACCTGACGGCCAATCAGATTCTGATTTTATCGAATTAGATAACGAGAGACTGAGCATGACAGATCTGGACCGTGTGCTGCACAAAGTGGACTCTGCCACTCGCGGAGACATCGCCGACAGTCTCATGCGCTTCTACCTGTCCGAGGGCTACCACGTCGAGTTCTTGAGGTGGTTGTCGTGTCGTGTCGTTTTGGGTGTGCATGGCATCCGATGCTCCGCCTGACATCTGGTCATTTGGTGCTGCTAGTGTGGGCTATTCACAGTACAAGCGTTTTAGGGGTTTTACCTAAACCCTAAAACCCTACAAGCGTTTATCGTATGCATCTGGGCTATCGGCATATCCCTCTCGCACTCTCTGTCTCTCCTTTCCCTTTCTCTTTCTCTTTCTCTTTTTTTCTTATTCTTTTTTTCTTTTCTGTTGTCTATTGATTGTGTGCTCAGTCGCTCATGTCCCATTGCCCCACCCCCTTTCGCAGTAAAATTGGTGATCTGGAGATCATGTACACGGCTAAGCCCACCACACTGTTCCGGGGGGCGTCACTGTTCACTAAGGCCATGGACTACTTCATGTACTTTGTGGGCATGCCGTACATCCACGTCACACTCAGCGCCGTCATCAACACCATTTGCGAGCCAGCATTCCCGACTATAGGTAAAGTATATCCAACCCCCTATGACCCTATAACCTCAAACCCTGTAACCCTGTGATCCTAGAACCCTAGAATCCTAAAGATCCGTGCCGTACGTAATTAAGATCTTCGCTTGTTATACTTGTGAGCATTCGACATTGGTCGCACCCACTTTTGTGCCTGTGTGAGTGTGTGTTGTGAGCTCTTTAGAGAGGTCTGCTGCGTTGCATTGAGAATAAGTGCGTGTACTTCACCAGTGGTGGAATGATTATAGGTATACCGTTCGCGTGTCTAAAAGTCTCGTGGCCGTGTTCCTGCCTTTTGTCTGTAACGCCGCCACTGGTCTATAAATAGCACATCTACATCCGCTCGTTCTTATTCGTTGACATTGTTATTGCCTGCAGATGTCAGCCAAACAGCAGAGCACTCTAAAGCAAGTTTGGAACGGTCGTACAAGCGCATGGCGTTTCTCCTGCGGCATATCATCGTGGCCATCTCCTCGTCACTTCCCAATCTGCCCATTGGTATGTAGTCTCAGATTTATTGGTGTTGCACATGCCATTGTTGTGTGACTATTATGTAAATCGATGTTGCACTGCCATCCATCTACCTTCACACACTCTTATGTTGCACTGCCATTCATCCACCTTCACACACTTTTATGTTGCACTGCCATCCATCCACCTTCACACACTCTTAGGTTGCACTGCCATTCATCCACCTTCACACACTCTTATGTTGCACTGCCATTCATCTACCTTCACACACTCTTATGTTGCACTGCCATCCATCTACCTTCACACACTCTTATGTTGCACTGGCATACATCTACCTTCACACAATCTTATGTTGCACTGGCATCCATCTACCTTCACACACTCTTATGTTGTGCTGCCATCCATCTACCTTCACACACTCTTATGTTGCACTGCCATCCATCTACCTTCTCACACTCTTATGTTGCACTGGCATACATTTACCTTCACAATTTCTTATGTTGCACTGCCATACACCTACCTTCATTGACTGTCTCAGCTATGTCGTACTCGTGACCTTTTAAGTCTTATCCAACGTAAGCACAACGTGCACGGCACTTTGGGGAAGTAAGACTAAGCCATACAATTATAAACAGGACCAAGTACTTAAGTTATATAAAGATCGTCAATCCCTCGCAATGTCGGGTCCGTGAATTCTTATCGGTTCCTTCCCGCGCACTGTCATTCATTCAACGCCACAAAATCCTATTTTTTTTTCTTTTTCTTTTTGGAATTGCCTCAGAATTTCGGCTCGTGTTTGCGCATTTGAGGGAATCCGCCGCTTCCAAATTCGGGTTCACCGAATTGAATGACCTGACACGTCCTGTGAGCTCTACGCTGATTCTGCGATTCTTCTCATTGGCCATTGTGTCTCCGCACTTATCGCAATTCCAATTGGTTGAGTCCACACCATCGTCAAACGCCCTGGTAGGTGTCGGTGCCAATATATGTGTATGGCACGCATAATTATGCGTATACTAACATATGTGTATGACACGCGTGTATGATGTTACATTTTGTGTTGACACTGCGGGATGAAGTGCAAGTGCTGCCATTTGCACGTATACCGACCCACGTGTGCGACTGATTACTGATAAATGTGGACTTCTATTGCACACCGGCATATATACAATTCATGTACAATACACGAACACTATTACAACGTGTATTGTACATATTCATGTGAGTCATCTATCACTTATGAACATGCACAAGAAAACAACTGTGTAATTTGAAACAACTGTGTAATTGAAAACAACTGTGTAATTTAGAACTTATCGGTATTAGCGTTTACCGGTACTCTAGATGAATACACTTTGTCGACGTAGGATTATGTTACGTATTTGGATACCTCAAAGCGTATAGTTATATTTAAGCGTTCACAGATTCATCTTGCAATAGCCTGAACAAACCGAGGCCCATCCGTGTGTTAATGTTGAGCTTTTAGATTACCCATATGTTTATGATGAGGTTTTAGGCCCAGTGATTGCCAACTTTGCGATTGAAAGGTCGTCTCGAAATCAAGTTGCTGTGTATTCAAATGTGACGTTTCACCCCTCACCAGATGTATTGAACCCTAAACCCTAGTACTGGTGACAAATGTGAGCCATCTCTCACCCGATGATTCGTAATGGACGTATTCTATCATCCCAGGCACACCAGAGTACATTTCATTCGCTTGCGGTTTGCATGCACCTTAGAATAGGGACCGTTGGTTGTCATACGTATTCCCTATAGACCGTTTACGTTTAGAGTATGAGACAGCCACTCACTCCCGCTCACCGTGGCATCCTCACACCCACAGAAATTGCTGGCTCTGTTGGGCAAAATGCTGCAGAAATTGGCAAACGCGGGACAGTTTGGGGACAATGAGCCATACATGGTACGTGAGTCCAATGCGGAAAGGGTTTATGGTTTAGGGTTTGGGTTGCATTCGGGACAGCTTGGGGACAATAAGTCATATATGGTACGTGGGTCCAATGCACGGTGTCAGTTCTGTTATGCGAAACCACTTCTCATGACGATGCCGTGCGATGCAGCGGCAGAGAGTGATGTCTTGCAGACGTTTTTATCTTTGTTGAAATGTGTACTTGTCACATCTTCGTGGCGCTTGGGGATGTTCTGGTCTCTGTGTATGAGGACTATTCTGGATTTAGGGTTTTAGGGTTTTAGATTCTGGATTGGGTGAGTTGTGCCTCGAAACGTCACTCACGCTGTGTGGGTGTTCTGACTGTTTTTATTCTTTAAATGGATCTGTAGTTGTTTATGGTAATGTCCTACTCTCCTTTTGTATTGTATGTATGACAAAATATTGTACATTTGTGATTATGGCAGTAGACAAAGACAGTCTTATTCGTGGGGTGTTTTTAGGTTTTAGGTTTGGTTGGGAGATATACAGCAACCAGCTCAAATGGGCAGGGAATATGGCCGTGTAGTATGGCCTGTTGAGCTCTGCTCACCAACGTGTGCTGTGCTAACACTCACTCGCGCGTACGCTGCGTTCAACAGGTGGAGATGAACAAGCGCATAGGTGTGGAATATAGGCAAATGTTCAGTGACTTCATGGACCAGGTGCGTAACAACCCCATCGGTAGCAACGTACTAGTGTGGCAAGACAAATCGTGTCACAGACGTCTGGGCTCAGGTGTTGCAGAAGTACCTAGCTCATATGGCCTGCACTTCTTCTTGTTAGCTTGTCGATGTGATATTTTGCGAAAACTCTGGAATGAGAATTTTAGATCACACGCCTTAAATAGGCATAACGATGAGTTCATCCTACGATGAATGAATGGAAATCATAACCATGAGTACATCCTACAATGAATGAATCCATTTGATGGTGATGAATGACTGGCTTCAGTGACTGTTTGAGTTATGTTTGGTGTTTCCAATAGTGATTTCCACGATGGATCAGTGATCATCGTACGATGAGTGAATTCTCTGTGGTGTATATTGCTGGTTCGGGGATTGAGCGTATGTCACCTCTTGCAGTGATCTGGAGATGTTCTTTTTGTGTGCATGTCTGTATATATCCACTTCTGATTGCACTTATACCTTTCTACCTATGGCGGCTATATGACCCAAAGATTGTTCGCACTCACGTTTCCATGTACTCTGTATATAAACGCAGGTGTCTCTGCCACTGACTGCTGAAGAGATAGAGAAGGGGCACTTCTACACCTTTGAGATGGACAAGGCTCGTATCCTGTGTCGTCTGCATCGGTTTATGTCCAACGTCTACCTGGATGGCCACACGGAGCATGTGATTGTCAAACTGCTGCGATCCGTCAAGAAGAGCGACAACGAGGATGTATGTGATGTTATGTGCTATTGTGCTGATGTCATATCAGTTTAAGTTTTGTTTTGTCATGCCATGTCACGTCAAGTCTAACACACCTTGTCCTGTCGTGTCATGTCATGTCACATCTTGTTGTGTCTTGTACCTATATCACGTGTCGTGATGCCATGCCGTTGCTTGTCTGGTTAAGTTTTGTCAAGTATATCGTGGCGTTATAAAATCAAGTGATCTTGAGATCCGGCTCAATGTGCCTAGAGAGTCCATTGCACTGCTTCCGCTGCGGCTTTGCGTCGTTATAACCAGCAGTGTCTGCCTAGTGCGTTGCTTCTGCACTTAGGCAGCCGCCAGTGGTCATGTCACATCGTTGGACTTTGTTGTTCCGCTGATTGCGTTGAGCTTCCGAGTGCGTGTGATGTGTTTCTCAGTAGCGGCGAGTTTGTTCGGTTTGTCTGAAGGACGTCCCGATCTGAGGCATATGTGTCGTGAGACGTAAGCGCGTGCTCCCGATGAACCCATCTTTTATATCTTTTCATCGTAGGCATATACGCCGTGCCATATACTCAGAAAACCCCTATCATCCTACATCCGCCCAATGCGTTCGCTCATTTGTATCTTCTGCATCCTTCACCCCATCAGACGATTTCGCTTTCCAGTCAGGCCAGTCGAGAGTCAGTCAAGTCTACGCAACCACTACCCGACGTCATCTCAGACAACGAACACCACATCTCCAGTTCAGAGAATCTCAGCACCACACATCCAGATAGCAATTATAGCAATAGTAATAATAATATTAATTATAACAACAACAACAACAACAACTATAGTAAGAACGCGGGTGGCTTCACCGTGCATGTGTCTGGGCCTACACCGCAGTCCACCCCACAACCATTGCGGACGGGTGACACGGACGACCCCGAGGCACAGGCAGGCGGTGGGGAGGACTGGCAGACACCCACGTGTGCACAGTGCGAAGCCGAGAAACACGCAGCACTCACGGTCATGCGCTCAGTGGAGAGTGCCAGGGGGACTGCCTCTGTCGTGGACAGGGCCCCGCCAACCGCTGCAACAGACACGACTCTGCCAATGCACGAAAGCGTGCTAGACCGGGTTGGCTTGTATTCAGAGCGACAAAGGAGAAGTGTGGATCTCCCGGTCGCCCGTCTGAGTAGTCCTAATGTGGCAGAGCCAGTAGGCGAGAGTGTGGAGGCGAGCCCTTTAAACAGAACGCTATCAGAGACGAGAGCAACGAAGACGTTGCCTGAGGGTGGCGACGGGGTTTGATGCGTTCTGTCCACCAAGTAGCACCCCCAAATGTCGTCACCGTGTGTACTTTGAAGAGTTACCTACGTGACGCGCATACTTAGAATAAAAGCACTGTGTGTATATACTGCCAAATGAAGTTGTTGACTCCCGCGGTCGCATATAAGATCTAGACATGTGTACCATCTAACACTATTCACATCCAAATTTGAAATTCACATATCATATATAAGTATAATATATATATATATGTATATGTATATGTGTATATATATATATATATATATATATATATATTATATATATATATTTATATATATATATATATATAATAA